GCTGCCCAGAGTGAACTGCTGTTGAGAATCACCGAGCTGGAGACTGCGTTGGCGGCAGAGCAAGAAAAAACTAGGGCAATGGGAGAAAGGCTGAAGTCTCCAGAGGAGGCACTAGCCAAGGTGAACAAAGGAGCGGCCGACGGAAAGAACAGAAGGGCACCAGCAACCAGAACGGCGAAGAAAGAGCAAGCAAACTTGGAAAAAACAGGTTCAGCCGGTTCAATTGTCGCAAGGCCTAGCTACAGCAAAATAGTGGCGGGGCTGGGAGGGGACAAAGCAGCCGGCGTCACAGGTGCACGCGACCCCCAAGTGCTGGACGCTCCAGCTGAAAAGTCACAGCATGTGATAATCGCCGGGGACTCCAATTTAAATCGATGCGCAGAAGCAATCAAACAGAGGGCAAGACGTGACAAGAGGGTTGCAATAGGGACGTTCCAAGACGCAAGCTGGAAGCAGTCGTGAAGTAAGCGAGCGCGAAACTCAAAACTACAGCTGATAGACGAAACCTCATGATAATTTCAGGCGGTTTAAGCGATGTCTTAAATGAAGATACGACAGGACTAGCGACCACACTGGCGAAAGGGGTCGATGACATGCGTGCCACTTCTCCTCAGGTACAGGTAGTGATATGCACGATACAGGAGGTACCCGTGCGTGATAGCAACCTGCAAAGAGCAGTTGTCAATGCAAACCAAGAGATATGGCGGATAAGTCGAGAGAAAGCCTTTGAGGTGGTGGAAATAAACAGAGAGGTGCATAGGTGGGGTGGTTTTCAGCGAGACAGAATTCACTTCAATGGGCGGCTAGGTCATGAGGCGGGTTGGCGATTTGCAGGACCCGCAGTAGCTTTTTTGGGGGGCAAGCGGGCCCTTTGGGATGCAGGATAGCTAGTAACGAGGAAAACAACCAGGGAGACTCTTTGACAGGTGAAATGGTCAGATACGATTCCAAAGTGGCACCAGTACCTAAGATAGGTAGAGTCCAGGGCAGAAATAGACGTAGTCACGGGCGCCGAGCCAATTAAGACATAGGGTATATTAACATGCAGGGTGGCAGGAACAGGCTGAAGTGGAAAGAGATAGAAGAACAGCTAAGGGAGGAGAAGCTGATGGTATACGGTTTGGTAGAAACACATCTTAGGGACATAGAACCTCCTCCTAACAATCCGGACTACGCATGGGAATATTGTAATAGACCAGGAAGCAGCAGAAATAGGGGTGGTATTGGGGCATTCATTCATAAAAGTACAGACTGGCAAAGGGTCAAGCAGGAGTGCAATGAACATTTATGGCTAAAGGGAAAGTGGCAGGGCAAATGACACTCCTTCGTTAGGTGTACTTGTGGACGGGAGCAAAGGCCACAGAGGAAAACCAGGCAATGATAGAGTATATATCAAAGGACATTGAGGAGTTAAGAGAGTGCGAGATAATTATACTAGGAGATATGAATGCGCACATAGAAGTTATAGTTGGGTATACCGACCCAAAAGGCAAAATAATCATGAATATGTGTGAAAGGCATGTTATGATCATTTGCAACAGTACCGAGAAGTGTGAAGGGCAAATAACATGGGAGGTAGGAAGGCTGCAGTCGACCATAGATTATGCACTGATGTCACGTAGGATGTATGATAAGCTCGGGGGAATGCACATATATGAAGGTGGCTCCAGAAGTCTGTGTATTGATCACAAACGTATCAAGCTAAGTTTTCGAAGAGCAGGGAAAGTAGCAAGGAGACAAAATGAGCAACTACAGGAAAATTTTTATTCAGAAAGGCAAATAGAAAAGCTACTAAACAAATTGAGAAAGTAATCACTGAAAATAATAAAACACTGTGGACATACACGAATCTAATTAGACTGTTTGAGCTAGAGCTTGCTAAGGCATGTGACAAGTCACCCCGGAAAAGAAGACACAAACCCAACAGTTGGTGGGATGAGGAAGTTAAGAAAGCCATAGCAAAACGTCAGGAAGCCTCTAGGGAACAGACATGCTAAGCAACGAAGTGAACCGACAGATGTTGAAAGAAAATGGGACATCTTTCTAAGCTGTAGAAAGGATGCATCCCTTCTGATCAATGAAAAGATTAGAATAAAGGGAGCTCAGTGGCTGGCAGTAGTACATAAAAAAGATAGAAAGGCAGCTGTGAAATTTTGGAACCATCTAAACTCCCTAAGAAACGAGACGAGCCTAGAGCAGAGGTTTATAACTGCAGCTCAAGGTGCTAGGCTAGAAGGGGACGAAGCTATTGAATATATTAGAACAAGGGTGACTGAAAAATTTCAACAAAGAAGTGCTTTATGCACCACAATAGACAAGGATGAATCAAGTGGCACAATGGCTCCATTTTCACAACAAGAGTGGGAAAGGGCTGAGAAGAGGATTCCTAGTAGTACATCAACAGGCCCAGATGGCATTCCAATTATGCTGATAAAAACATTAGTTCCAAAGTCTAAGCAGGCTTTGAGAGAGACAGTGAGTAAAATAATAATCGATGCTGAAGTCCCCAATGGATGGAAACTTCGCAGGATGAGCACGTTCCATAAAGGAAAGGGAGACAAAGCTGACATAAACAACTACCGTCCTATAAGAGTGACATCAGTGGTCTACAGGCTGGCGATGCAGATTATAAAGGAAAGACTGCAGGCATGGATAGAGGATGAGGGGGTGCTGGGGTAACTGCAGAATGGGTTTCGGAAACACAGGAGGTTGGAAGACAATCTGTTCTCACTGACGCAGTGCATCAAAATAGCAGAAAAGGAAAACAGGCCACTGTGGCTAGCATTTTTTGGATATCAAGGGAGCCTACGATAGCATGGTTCAAGAAAACTTGTGGGGAATACTGGACACACTAGGTGGTGAAGATGGAGTCACTAATCTTTTAAAGGATATCTATATAGGTAACAAGGCAGTTATAAAGTGGAAAAAACAGGTATCCAAGCCTGCAGAGGTAAAACGGGGGCTTAGGCAGGGGTGTCCTCTGTCATCCTTGTTATTTATGATGTACCAACGAGGATTAGAGGCCAAATTAGAGGTAAGTTGACTGGGCTTCAACTTCTCTTTCGTAAAACAAGGAAAACTCATTGAACAGGCAATACCAGCATTCATGTACACAGATGATATAGTGCTAATGGCCGACAACAAGGAAAATTTGCAGAGATTGGTGGACATTTACGGTAATGAGGGAGATAGATTAGATTTCAGATTCAGTAAAGAAAAATCAGCAGTCATGAGTTTTAATGACAATGAAGGTAGTGAGCTTTAAATACAGGAGGTCACGCTAGAGATAACAGATAAATACAAATATTTTGGCATATGGATAAGCAATGGGGCCGAGTACCCATGGGAACACGAAATATACGTGTCAAGTAAAGGTAACAGGAATACAGCAGTAATGAAAAACAGGGTACTGTGTAATTACAATAGGTATGATGTTGTTAGAGGAATATTGAAAAGGCTCGTGGTTCCTGGTCTGACGTTCGGCAATGCGGTCTTGTGCATGAGATCGGAAGTTCAAGCAAGATTAAAAATTAAACAACGTGGAATAGGTAGGCTTGCCTTAGGAGCTCACGGGAATACACGAAATCAGGGAGTACAAGGAGATATGGGATGGAGATCATTTGAGGGCAGGAAACTAGCAGCAAGATAAAATTTGAGAAGCAATTGAGAGAAATGGGGGAGGAGCGTTGGGCTAGGAAGGTATTCAGCTACTTGTACATGAAGAGTGTTGATACAAAACGGAGGAAGCGAACCAGAAAATTGACTGACAGATACTTAGAAACCAGCAGGGGGCCAAACTGAAAAGAATTCTCGGTTAAGAAGGTGAAGGAAGCTGAGACCGGTACGTGGCGAATCGGCATGATTATAAGAAGTCCGCACTGGAGATCTTTCAAACTTTTAAGCAGGAAATTGCCAAGGAAAGGATCTATGACAACACTCGGGGTAGTTCTCTACTGTTTGAGGCCAGGACGGGAGTATTGCGAACCAAGACATATCGGGCCAAATACGAAAGAATAGACACGGTATGCAGTGCATGTGGAGAGGAGGAGGAAACTGTGGAACACTTGATAATGTTCTGTAAAGGGCTTCCCCCTATAGTTCAGGACGAGGGCGCAGGGTTTTTCAAAGCACTGGGGTTTAGGGACAGGAAGGGCCACATAGACTTTAAGCGGGTAGAATTAACAAGAAGGAGGTTATCTGATTGGTGGCTGAAGTCAAGGCACGAGTGAAAATTAAACCCTTCACTGCCAAGTACGTGTCCTCAACCTCACTAGTTAAAGGGGAAAAAAATAAACCTAGTTTTTGGTTCACTAAGTATTCCGGCTTGGTGGCGTTAGCCACCGCCCAATCTAAATGGTACAGCCATATCAATCCATCCATCTATCCTGCGTGCCGAGGCCATGCATCGGAGCGTTCAAGTTGAAGGTGCTGACGGCTGTACAGGCTAAAATCCCCTGTTTTAAGTAGCCTCAAGGGTCATGTGCGGGAGTGCAACAGCTGCAGCCACATGGCGTGCGGCACAAACACGACTATGCTTATGCTCCCTTGTTATAAAAAAGAATATGTCGGTTTTTCAATAAAAAACGTATATCTGTGTTCAAAAGCCACAGCCATGCACACTCTACTCCCTTGCTCCCTTGTTATAAAAAAGAATGAAATATGTCGGTTTTTCAATAAAGAACGTATATGTGTGTTCAAGGGCCACAGCCATGCACACTCTACACGCAAACGTAAAATGTGACTGCACATGCCACTTGTGGCTCATTTCAGACTTAACAGTTCCGCTTGTAATAAAACCCGAAACAAGTTACACGAGAAATGCACTCATTTCATCTGTAGAGAACATGTGCGCATACACATGTATAATGACGAAAAAACAGCCCGACTAGGAGAGCAGCGCCACCAGAACCACCGGCAATAACGCCGATCGACTTCCTGCATGATGACTGTCCAAGCATATGGTCCAAGCATGACAACCACAGAAAAAAAAAAAAACGTACCTCCCACAGACGATGGTTGCACCGCTTCAGCGCACTGCAGTACGTGAAGTCCCGATACGCAGGGTGCACCAGAAAGCCGCAGCTAATGTAAGCTGCGGACACAACTTACGCTACAACCTCGTGTCTCGCTGCAGCATAGCCTCCTCAGGCAGCTGAAACGAAGGCGGCCACTGGCAAATGCGCCCTAACCGCCACTCGTAACATCAGCCGGCCCACTACAGCGAGCAGATAATTGCGAGGCACGGATACAGCGTACTAACTAGAGGAGGGTAGCACGGAGGAATAAAAGCCACAGAACACCTGAAAAGCCGTCAGTGTGGCGAGGACTCGCAGTGTTGCCAGGTCAAATAAAGTGGTGTAGCCAAAAGCCAAAAAAAACTGTGAGCCAAGTGTAGCCAAAAACAAAAAAAGCAAGAACATCTGTGGCCAAATATAGTCATTCTTATTTGAAGTAATTTTTATTTACGTTTACACATTTGGCTCTACCAACATTCTTAGAAAAACTATGTTAAGTTGGCAAAGAGCGTGGCCTTCCAGTTGCGTGGAGAGGCGCCAACGGCAGCGCACAGTGATCACCCATGACCTATGGTTACAGTGTACTGTAACCATATTACACTGATCACCATAGTACAGTGTACTATGGTGATCACCACGTTCCTTCCTCCGTGGAGATCACCAACCGGGGGGGGGGGGGGGGGGGGGGGCTGCGCTATTCAGCGCATCGTCTGCTGATGCGCTACTTCTTCCAAGGGGTCGATGGTTAGCGTTAGCTCGATATGGTAGCTGCTTTCATTAGACTTTGCTTGAGTGAAACGCGCATTTTAGTCATATCTCAGCGTTATACAAAGATACAAATTGCACATATGACAGAACATAAAAAATGGTAGATCCCAAGCACAGTGGGAATCGATGATATCACGGATGAGGAAGGTTGAATTGCCACAATTAATTTAGCACAACATTACGAGGCGAACGTAAATGATGCCGTACATGACTTTCACGTCAAGATTATTATGTTTGCGCCTGGCATATGTGCTCAGTCGTCTATTCACGTCACATAATACCAAATTTGGTATATCCGAGGCAAGCGAAATGGCCGCGAGCGCACTATGAGGGCCGCATGTATGTCATGTTTTACGTTACATGCATGTCATGATTATCATGTTTGGAAGTATAATTTACCTTCGTCCGTTCGCGTCATTTATTACCAAATTTGGTATATGTACTGAAGCTAGTGAAACGAGCACGTGCACCTTGCGCGTGGCATGTAGTCTTGCTCGTATGACACGCAAGTCATGATTATCATGTTTGCACCAGTCGATCATATACCTTCATGATCCATTGACGTCACGTAATACCGAATTTGGTGTATGTTAAAACAGCGAAGCGACCACGAGCGCATCATGAGCGTGGCATGTACTCATGTGTCTGCATGACACGCATGGCCTCGCTACGACGCGATGTAGTGGCTCGGCTGCTGACCTGCAGGTCACGGGATCAAATCCCGGCTGTGACAACTGCATTTTCGATGGTGGTGAAAAAGATGTAGGCACGTGTGCTCAGATTTGGGTGCACACCTCAGGTGGTCGAAATTCCCGGAGCACTCCACTACGGCATTCCTCATAATTATATGATGGTTTTAAGACGTTATACCCCAAATACAAATCAATTACATGAGACGTATGCAATTAATTCCACGTGAGGGCCTGTCACTTATGTTCCCCATGCCGTCATGTCATACCATACCAGTTTTGCGATATGTGATGTGAACGAAACAACCGCAGGAGCAGCAAGAGCACATGTATATCATGACATTCACGACATACATGTCATGATTTTTATGTTATGATTAGTCACTTAATTATTCACGTCGTACAGTCATGTTATGACACGCCAATTTCGGTATAGATCCATTATCCAAGCGGCAAGGCGATCTAAAAGTCGTAGATAGATAGATAGATAGATAGATAGATAGATAGATAGATAGATAGATAGATAGATAGATAGATAGATAGATAGATAGATAGATAGATAGATAGATAGATAGATAGATAGATAGATAGATAGATAGATAGATAGATAGATAGATAGATAGATAGATAGATAGATAGATAGATAGATAGATAGATAGATAGATAGATAGATAGATAGATAGATAGATAGATAGATAGATAGATAGATAGATAGATAGATAGATAGATAGATAGATAGATAGATAGATAGATAGATAGATAGATAGATAGATAGATAGATAGATAGATAGATAGATAGATAGATAGATAGATAGATAGATAGATAGATAGATAGATAGATTTCGTTTCGCGTTAGAACGGACATTTCTCTCTCCCCAGCATATGCACAAAAATCCCGTAATGCTCAATCATACTCCAACGTCACCACAACACGTACGTATACGTGATGTGCTGAAAAGCCTAGAAACTCAAACGTAAGCAAGAAATCCAGAAAAAAAAAGTCTTGTCATTTTTATTCCATTTCGCGAAACGGAATGCAGCGGGTGCATTATTTGTAGCGACGTATTTACCAGGTGTGTGCGAGTATTCGAAAGTTTTGATATTCAAATGGAACAGTGTCTTCTGTGATTTTATCATCGAATCAAATAGCCGTCATTTGTAAACCGCAATACTTCATAAATATTTCAAAATATCAACTGCATCCAAGTGGGGAAGAAATTGGCACAGGTGTACGATAACTTTTATCCCTGTTGGCTTATTAGAGACATGAAAGCTTAGAGCTCATGCAGTAAGACATGCTACTGCGCTTTGGCAGTGCTACCATACTAACTATGCAATAAGAGTTCGCGCTTTCTGAACAATGGTGTGGATATGAAACATCCACTAAATCCCTCCAGATGCTTCCCTCACTCAATTTATGGCTTCCAAGTGCTCTAATTTTTTTTAACTTCCTCTCATTCACTGACCATAAGAAAAATGATCATTTAAGTGCGTTATTTCCGTCGTATATGCGCTGTGACGTCCCCACAAACACGGACTGAACCCCGGTCCTTTCAAAATATTTACGCTCGTTTCTTAAACAAACGCATTAAAAAAAGGAAAAGAAAACCTTCGGTGTAACGAATAGGCATTCCGGAGTGGAGTACCCGGAAGGATTATTTCTACTGTTCTCGCCCCCCCCCCCCCCCCCCACCGCGCAAACACGAGGACCGGGCGGCGCCGTGTTGTGTACAGACAGTGTGACAATGTACGGTGGCAATAATCCGCACGCACCCTTCAGATTTGTGGCATGGGGGAGCAGCAGAGCACCTTTTGTTGGTTCGATGAATGCGACCTTGCTGCAGCGCCTCTGCCGGGCCCGGCCTGACTTTCCGTCAGCCTCCGTGGCTCCAGGGCTCATTACTGCGTTCTGCGCGGATGCCCCCCCCCCCCCCCCCCCCCGCGGAGTTAAATGACGAAGAAGTGGCGGCTGCAGAGAATTTCGCGGGAGACACCAAGCTGCATGGAGACGTTGAGACTTGGTCTAGACAACGGGTAATCGGGTGCCAGAAACCGGGGCAATTGGTCCAGCCGAAAACATTTCGACACAACACTGGAAACTCCGGACGATGGCCATTACAGACGACGCTCTTTGTCGGAGCATTGAGACCATTGTGCGCCCGTAATTCACGTGTCTTCGGACAGCTCGCACATCTCTCTCTCTCTGAGGCTTGAGTTTGTAGAGTTACTTGCTCGGCTTTGCTTGGGAGAGGGTTTTCCACTGGTGCGGGCCGCGGGGACGGCCGTCGAAGATGACACACACCGACTGACAGAGAAATGTATCGTGTTAACAGTAGCAATTGGTTAGGTGCCACGGAGGGGCGGAGTCGGGTCCTACGAAAAGGGACTACGAGACGATGCGAAGAAAGTCAGAGAGAGACGGAGCATTGAGATTGATATGGTAGAAAGACGGAATGGAAAAGGAAGATAACGGTGCGAAGATATAGCGATGAGAGGCGATGAGATGATGACTAGGGCAAGGACGGTACGATGAGGAATGAAAGTTAGGGATAGGAGGCGAGTGAATGGAACGTTACGAAAGAGGGCTAAGATGGAAATCACTGAGAGGCACGACGAAGGCGACGATGACAAAAACGATGAAGACGCTGACGAATTGGACAATGACCCCAGGAAGAAGCCCTGAGCCCCGACTCGAACAGCCTGCTCCGAGGCCCCCGTCAACATGGACATTCTGTGAGACGAACTTCACCTCCCTTACTTAATCGAGCTTTGCGGGAAGGGATGCGGCATATTGAGACACTGCACGGTTTTATTAATTAATGACTTTATCATTTGTGTCGTCGTGTGTTTACTATGTGTTGAGGCACCCTTGTATTGTCACCGTTACTTCGCTTATGCATCCTGTTTTGTGTTTCGCGAGTAATTACTGATGTGTTACAATTTTGTGTCACAGAGATGTCGTTCATGGACAGTATGTGTGTACGCCATTTGCACTCGCTATTGAATTAAATGCGTCCATGATTAAGAAAAGATCGTGTCGTCTCTTACTTCCCGGCCCCAGCACGAATCCCTGTATATGCAAAGTGATTGAGACACGTAGCCAAGAGGGAACCGGATAAAAAGGGGGTTGAGGGGTCTTCCCTCTCTTTGGCGATCGGTGGCGTAGTGGGGACGTCTCAGCGCCTACAAATGATGTGTACCGATAGCATGGGCCCTTTACACTACGTGTCGACCTTTTTTTAGCTGCATATGAGTATAAACAAAATCTAAACTCTCCCCATTTTATATGCGCGAAAACCTCAAGCTTGCACGTTGCACAGAAATTGGGCAAGCCTCTCCGTGGTCCAATAAAAAAAAAAAAAGGTAACACACAGGCGAAAAAAAAGCACTATAACATTACTACTTCTGTGCAGACGTAACTAGTAATTGAAAAAGAGATAAGTAAAACATGGCGATTAACCCAGCAACGAACATCGGGGCCACGTTATCTGGTTAGTTATTTGTACGTAATGCTTGGCCGGTGAGTTTAGTTAATTGAACAAAATTATTTACGGCAAATCTCTCTCTCCCCCGTCAATACGGTTCTCTTCCGCACACAGCGCTTTGATTATTGACGCGCCATTTTAGAGCATTCAGCCAGCAATCAGGTCGTGATAACGCTTACAGATACTTATTCCGTCGGATATTTCCCACTGGAACAATTTATGTAACTATACTGTGTGCTGCAATATGACCGACGCTGTCATCGACCTCATTAAGTGTACTGAATTTTCCCCATGAATTTTCGGCAATGTAGATAATTCCATGTATTCAGTTCCCACTCGTGCACGGGCCGTGAAAAAACTGCAGTACACTAC